GGAGAAGCAGACTTCCTTCTGAGCAGGGAGCCCGACACGGGGCTTGATCCCAGGATCCTGAGATCATGACCTGAGCCACCCAGGCGCCCCCCCCCAATGAGTTAATTTTTATGTTATGTAAGAGTCCGACTTCCCCCCCGCTGTGGCCACACAGGCGTCTCCTCACACATTCGCCCGTGGGCCTGCACACAGGGTAGTGCACTGCACCCCTTTCCCTGTTCCTTACGCTTCTGGAAGGAAATGGGAAAACACCCCAAACAGTAGGTAGCAGCGGGCAGCCTTTGGGGAGGGGGTGGCCTTGGGTCCCAGCGCCGTTGGTGTCCGGCCCACGCCCACCAAGCTTTGCAGCCTTGAGGCCGACAGGTCTCCTGGCCGAGAGGCCGGACCGCAGGCTGGAGTCCTCCCACCCACACCCTCTGTGTGGGTCAGGATGATGGCCTCCGCTCTGGTCCACTGTGACCCTCTGACCCACACCCTTTCTCTCCCCAGGATACCGAGAAGGCTTTCTCTGGAAGCGCGGCCGGGACAATGGGCAGTTTTTAAGTCGCAAGTTTGTGCTGACGGAACGGGAAGGGTCCCTGAAGTATTTCAACAGAAGCGATGTGAGCCCGGCACAGGGCCTGTAGTGACTGTTGTCCCCAGCTGCCCTCAAACAATTCCTGGCTGGAGTGGCTGCCCCCTCCCGTGGGGACCCCTGCCCACCCCTTGGTCACAGTCGCTCCCTGGGGCCGGGCCTGGTTGGCAATGCTGGGTACTCCCAAGACCGACAGGGTCATCCAGGCAGCGGGTGGGGAGGGGCTGGCTGGGCCCTGCGCCCACCCAGACCAGCTCCAGGTCAGGACATCCCTGGTGACACACAGAGCCAGAGGGCACCGCAGGGCAGTTTGCCAGCTCCCGGGCAGAGAGGAAAGCCAGGCTGGTGGGACGGGAGCAGGGTGGGGGCACAGCAGACAGAGGAGGAGCTGTAGGGGAGAGGGGGGTCTGCCCAGGTGTCAGACATCCCCCTTCCTCATCCCTGGGGAGGGCAGTGCTGTTACCTCAGACTTACAGGTCAGGAAGCCCAGGACCAGAGCGGGTAGGTAACTTACCCAAAGCCACACAGCACACCCGGCACCCACAGGCCCGCCCTGCCTGCTCCCCTGCCCGCCTGGAGCTAAGGCACGGCCTTGCTTCCAGGCCAAGGAGCCCAAGGCTGTCATGAAGATCGAGCATCTGAACGCCACTTTCCAGCCAGCCAAGATCGGCCACCCCCATGGCCTGCAGGTCACCTACCTGAAGGACAACAGTACCCGCAACATCTTTGTCTACCATGAGGACGGGAAGGTGGGTGCCGGGAGCTGGAGCGCCCCGCCCTGCACGGCCACGTGGAGCCGGTGGGGCCCTGGCTGGGGAGCGGACCTAGAATCCCTGTGGAAGAGGGTGACGGGCTGGGGGCACGTGCACAGTGTCCTGCTCCACGGACGACCCACCGCCTCGCACCCAGACCCTCTGCAGGGTGAGGGTGCCGGGAGCCCCCAGCCAACCCCTCGAGGTCTGTGCTTTCGTCACGGGTGGCCCCGTCCTCCTCGTGACTTCGGTTTTCTGTTTTTACCTCTGCAACACGGGCTTGTGAGTTAAAGGGTGAAACGTGTCTGCGACGCTTCAGACACACAAGCGTCTGGCAACCACTTCTCTTCTCCCTTTTTTCGTGTGTAAAAATACACCTAAAATTCACCGTTTTCGTGATGTGTAAGCATACGGTTCTGGGTACATTCATTGTGCAGCCATCCCCACCACCCATTCCAGAACGTTCCGTCCCACACACGGAGACCCTGTTTCCGTGATGCACAGACCCCCCCCCCCCGCTCCCCCAGCGCTGGCCCCGCCGTCTACTCTGTGTGAGTCTGACGACTCTGGGACCTTGTGTGAGTGGGGTCCCCGTGGGGGCAGGGGTCCGGTTGCTTCCTAAGGCTGAGTGGTCTGTCGTGTGGATGGACCATGCTGTTTATCAGCCCCCACCCTGACGGACAGCCGGTGGTTTCATGAAGGATGCTGCTATGAACTTAGGGGTACAAATACCTGAGACCCTACGTTCAGCTCTTGTGATTATGTAGCCAGAAGTGAAATCGTGGGATCGGGTGGTAACTGTTTGAGGACCCTCCCCACTGTTGTCCACGGCAGCTGCACGGTTTGCGCTCCCACCGACAGGGCGCCGGGGTTCTCTCCACATCCTCCAATAGCTGTTTCCGGGCTCTGACGGGCACATGTGTGCGAGGTGCTCTCGTTTTGATTTTCATCTGCATTTCCCTGATGATGACTGAGGTTGAGCATCTTTTCATGTCCTGGTTGGCCATTTGTATGTCTTCAGAGAAAGGTCTATTCAGGTCCCATTTTGCCCATTTTGGATTTTGGTTGGTTGTTTCTTCAGGTGTTGAGTTTTAGAGCTGCTCTGTATTTTCTGGATATTGATCTCTTAGCAGATACTCGACTTGAAAACGTTGTCTCCCAATCTGTGGGTTGCCTTTCACTCTATGGATAGTGTCCCCTGAAGCACAAAATTTTTAAATTTTCATAAACTCCAATTTGTCTTTTGTTGCCTATGTCTGTGGTGTCAGATGAACAAAATCATCGCCATATCCAACTGCATGAAGCTTTTGCCTTGTGTCTTCTTCTAAGATTTGTATGGTTCAGGTTTATGTTTAGGTCCTTGATCCACTGAGTTAATTTTTTTAAAGATTTTATTTATTTATTAGAGAGAGCGAGAGAGAGCAGGAGGCGGGGGGGCGGGGTCAGGGCAGAGGCAGAGGGAGAAGCAGACTTCCTTCTGAGCAGGGAGCCCGACACGGGGCTTGATCCCAGGATCCTGAGATCATGACCTGAGCCACCCAGGCGCCCCCCCCC